CGTTGGTGAGTAGGCCCACGGTATCGGGCACAGGCACGTGGGCGCCGCGCGATGAAGGGGACAAGATCTGAAGGTTGGCGTGGCTCCCAGGGTTCTGGATCCAACACACCACACCGCACAGGCAGGGAGGGAGGCAATGAAATGTATTCAAATATTCCTTGCCTGCCTGGATCTCTCTCCTCTCCATGGCCATGCCGCCTCGCCTGACTCACCTGTGAGCGCTCTTTGCCGAAGGCATCGTCGATGTCCATGGGTGCCGGCCCGTCGTCGTCTCCGTTGTCACCGGGGGGGCACTCGTGGAACCGGCCCCTCTCCCTCAAATGCAGCACCGTCTTGAGCCACCTCTGGCCGGGGCGCGCCTTGCCGCCCACATCCAACGGCTGGTCACGCATCAGCCCCAACTGCATCGGCAGCACGGCACCGCAGTCCTCGTGCTGGCACCGGGGCAGACCCTCAACGCCCAATGCGCCCCGGCCGTCGGTGCTGTCAGGCTCCTGTTGTGGCTGTGGGTGGGTCGTGGCGGCGTCGAGGGGCACATGCGTGACCCACGCCTGCTGGTCCTCACATCGGCTCTCGTCGCCCTCCACCTGAAAGAGCCCACTCGACGCCATGTGGAGCAGCTCCCCCGTCCGTATGGCGATCTCTTTCTCCCATCCGCCGCCGCCGCGGCCATGCCGTCCGCCTGCCCACACCGACGACGCCTGGTGCCAGGGGGTGAGCTTGCGGCTGAGCTCCTTGTCCAGCTGGAGAGCGTTAGCCGAGAATATCTTGGCGAACTGCCATGGGGGCGTGCACTGGGGCGTGGGGCGCCTCTTGCACCTGAGGCAGACGTCGACGGGTTGCAGTGGGATGCCGGTGCCGCAGCGGTAGGTGTTGTAGCGGACATTGCGGGAGGTGGGGGCCCGCCTGCCGAAGCGACCTGACAGGGCGCCCGCCTCAGTGGCATCTGAAAGATATATGGCCGGATGTATGGATGGATGGATGGATCGATGGATGGATGGATGGATGGATGGATGAGGGGACAGCAGGGGGAAGGGAGGGGACACACACATGCGATGCAGTGCAACGGGATCGGTGTGATTCAACGTTGGTGCGGAGCTGAGCTCTTACCTTCGAGCACGAACTGAGCCCATCCTGGCTTGGTGGCCTGTTAGGGATGTGAGGGGGACAAAACGAAAGGCGACCATCCGTCAGTCAGTTCATGAGGGTGCAGGGGAGGCTTACGTCTCTGAGTGGCTGCGCTTTGATCATGGCGTCGTCCTGCTCCCCCTGAGGCGTATCCAACGCCAGAGCCAGGGCCTGACCGAAACACACTCAGACATGCCATGCACCGCACCCATCCCCAGTCTGTCTGTATACTGACTGACCAGCGACACGGAGTACAGAGCCGTCGAGACGGCTGCCGGCGAGGCCTGCTCCTTGAGCACTCGAAGCGAGACGGTCATCATCCGATCGACAATGTCCAGCGGCTTGATGGTGCTGCCCTGCGAGATCCGTATACCGGACGGGCCATCACATGCGCCGCCCTCGACGTCTTGCGGCTCGGTGATGGCCTGCATGACGTCCGTGGCGACCGTCTGGTTGAGACTCGTCCAGATAAACAACAAGGACGGCGACTGGCCCGTGGGATCCTCCGCCACACCCTCCTCCAGATACTGAACAGAAAGGCACACACACACACACACACACAGAGAGAGAGAGAGAGAGAGAAGGAGAGATGGAGATGCACAAGGAGGGCGAGCGTTGGCTGTTGTCCCTGGTCAACGTACATCTAGGAAGCACTTGGCCTTCTGGTCCGCCGGCACGCCCGGCGTCGAGACCAGCGCACCGCATAGCTGCGCCATCGCCGACACGGGCACCCGCTCATCCGCCTCTCCCTGCACGCCTCCCTCACCCTGCCCCTGCCCCTCAGCTGCGTCCACCTGCATGGCCCCCTGCCGCCCCCGGATGGCCTCGCGGTAGAAGCCCACGGCTTTGTTGAAGAGCTCGAAGAGGGCCACGGTGTCGACGGCCACGTCGCTCTCGCTGTCGGGCATGTTGGTCATCTGGCTGCTCATGCTCATTGCCATGAAGGACGCCTGTGGGGCGAAGGGGGGCTGAGACTGATCGAAGAGAGGGTTGTCGGGGATGGGTGTGTGGGTGGCGATCGACAGCAGGCTGCCCAGGTAGATGATGAGGTGGTGCAGCAGGTCGGGCGGCGCACGGGGCAGCACTCGCGCCTGATACCCAGACATATATACTGCTGGTGCTCGACGCCTGGGGGTCTGTGCTGCACGAATGAATGCCTTACTCGTGCATCGTCCTGGAGGAGGTCCGAGAGTGTGTCGGCGAAGTACTTGATCATCTCCTTGAGCTTGAGGCCGTTCGACCGCTGCAGATGGGCCGCATGGAGGCCACTGGTGCCGACCGCCGATGCTGCTGCTGCTGCCGATGCTGTTGAGGCTGTGGTCTTGGTCTGGCAGACGGCCTCCGCCAGGACACACAAGAGCCACAACAGATGCTCCAGCTGATCTGAAGCCACGATATGATGCAGGCAGACAGACAGACAAGACAGACAGACAGACAGAGGCAGGCAGGCAGGCAGGCACCACACAGATGGAGAGAGGGTGGCTCTATGTGTGTGTCTGGTGCACCCCCCAGCTACCCCACCTGTATCCTGGAGGGCACTGAGTCGGTAGCTCTGCTGTCGGGTCTCCTTGTGGATGTAGCTCTTGATCTGCTTCATCAGCGTCCGTGCATGGTCTGAGACATGAGACATTCGCACCGCACGCACCCACACATGCAATGCACTCACTGCACACATACAAATGTGAGGGCGTCACGAGCGCCCCTTCCTTCCCCCTCTGCTGACTGACCTTTCCCATAGGCCTCGACGAGGTTCTTGAGCCGTCGCTTCTGCCTCTGCAGCCCCGCCTGTGACGGCATCCCATCACCGCTTCCCTCCTCGTCCCCATCTCCCGCCAGCGACGCCCCCATCGACTCGCGAAGACACCCGGGGCCTCTGTACGGTGGCAGGGAGGTGCTCCTAGTAGAGGTGGAAGCGGTCCCTCCTGCTGCTGCTGCTGCCGCCGCGGAGCTTGTGGAAGTTGTGTGGTCGTCGAAGTCGTCTTCTGGCTCTGGCTCAGGGTCGTCCTGGGGGAAGAGGAAGCGCTTGAAGGAGGGCGGGAGCTGGGGGTACAGGGGGCGCAGACATGCAAACACCTGAAGCGACCAGTCCTGCAGGCAGGCAGCCAACATAAATGCAACAGACAGACATTGTCTGTGTGAGTATGTCTTTCCCATCTGTCTGTCTGTCTGTCTGTTGGTGTGTCTTGTCTCTTTGTACCTACCTACCTCATGCCAGCGCTCCTGCAGTGCGTTGATGAGTGTGGGTGTGTCAGGCTGCAGGGCGGGGAAGAGGAAGGCCGACGACCCGTGTTTCAGGAACCACTGCACCAGGCCCACCACCAGACACATGTGGTGGTTCCTGCCACACTCATCCCGCAACCACAACTCAATCAAACCAGGCAGCGACGATACCAACCTGACACACACACACACACACACACACACACAGGCAGCGCATCAGCCCCCGTCCGTTGTGTCAATGTCGGCCTGCCGGTGTTGCAAGCCCACCTGCTACTGGCCGTGTCGCTGAGTCCCTGGTTGGGCGGCCCTCTGTCGCCCCTCGCCCTCTCCATGACCGTGGCGATCCTCAGGAAGGCCGCCACGGCCTGTCGAGTCACCAGTGGCCTCCGCTGACGCATCACCTGCCCCCTGGGTGTGTCCTCACGCGCACCGATGGCCAGGAGATTGGCCACCATCGCGATGAGGTACTCCTGCAGCTGTGCGGGCATGTATGGCGGCATGCGGCAGTGGCAGTGGGCAACCAAGTGGGCGCACAGGATGGTCATGTGTGTGGTGAGGTGGAGGGCCTCCTCGGCGCCGTACCAGGAGCGGGCAAACGATGGGTTTTGCAGCTGGTGGCTGAGGGTCTCCTGGAAGGGCTGCACACGGATCTTCAGCCCCTCAGCCGATTGGCTGCCCGTCGTCCCCTCCACCAATGCTGCATCCATCGACCGACCGACCGGGCCCATCAAGAACACAAGACAGACGCACATACATGAGTGTGTGAGTGTGCCGTGCCCTCAACGCAGTGCAGCGTGGGTAGGCTGCCTAGCCTAGCCTACCCTGCATGTGTTTGCTGACGTCCGCCACCGCCGAGGAGAGGATGTTGGGGTCCATCATCTCCAGCTGACGCAGCACCTGCACAATCGTCTCCACAAACGGACCCGTCAACGACTCCATCTCACCCTGCACACATAACATAACATACACACAAACACAGTTAGTTGCACGCCGAGTGCAGATGGGATGGGAGAGTGACTGAACCAGCCAACAACCTAATCTAGCCACCCAGCCCTAGCTATTCTTTCTCCCCCTTCTGTCGGTCGCTTACACTGGGAAGCATCTTGGCGAGGTTGGGCAGCAGGATCATCGTCCGACGCAGGTTGAACTGTGCGGGAGCATGTCGACACATAAGGCCGAGGAAGCACCTCTGCAGAAGGAGCAGCGTGCACTGCTGGTCTGTCCCAGTGCCACGCCGCACACCGCCCTCAGACCCGCCGCCGGCCGCTGCGGCAGCCGCGCCACCTGCATCCGGCTGCTGCTGCTGCTGCTGAGGGTGGTCCGCGAGTCCCATGGCCTTGAGTCGTGCGGGGAGTATTTGGCTGAGTTGTGAGAAGGGCTCGCAGTTCTCCACGTGATGCTCGAGATCTCCATCACGATCTGCGCCCTCCTCGCACCAGTACAGGAGCTGGTAGAGGGGGTCCACCTCCTTGCCGCCGGGCCCGCTCGTCGAGGAGGGGAGGTCCATGGCAGATTGATGGGTCAATCGACGAAACACTCCACCGTCCGCATGTGGAACAGATGATCTTCACTTGCTAATTCATGAACAGGAGAATGCCGAGGGCTCAGGGGAGGGTTTCAGGCCAAGGGTTTTGCAAGCTCGCGTGGTTCCCCTTCAAGTTCCCAAAAGACCGCTCTCCTCCCTCCATCCAACTCATCCCAATGCTCTCTGCAATGCCATCCCTTCGATCTTCCATATCTTCGCCGGCAGCCATCCGCTTGGTGTCATCGAGCGCCCCGCAGCCCAGCGACCCCCTGCCCTCCCCTCAGAGGAAGCGGTGCGAGATCCTCGCCAAGTTCGGCAGCTTCTACAGCCTGGTGTGTGCAGTAGAGAAGGAGGCGCAGTACCGTCGGCGGCAGGAGGAGTCGAAGCTGCAGTGGGGTGCAGGTCACGAGTACAAGGAGTACCAGTCCAAGCTGCCGCCCAAGCAGTACGAGGGCAGGGGCTACATGAAGTACTGGTTCAGGAGGAAAAGGCCAGGAGCCAGGCAGTGACAGACTGAGTGAGGGGGCTCTGGCTGGCTGCCAGTGGCTGCAGCTTGTGGTGCACTGATGGGATCTGGACAGTCGTGTGCGTCATGTTTGCTGGTACGATGAGATGAAGATGGGTGGTGTGTACTGTGTGTGACTGTGACTTCCATGGACGGACCCTTTCATACTGACTGCATCAACAAGTGTAGAACACACACGGGTCTTGAATTACATCACAAAATCCCGACAAGTACTTTGACTTGCCATTCCCCAGCCACCGACCGACACGCATAAGAACCACTCACTTCATTCCTCCCTCTTGCCGCTGATCCGCATTGGATCAGTCGCCTCCGTCACTTCTCTGCTCATCTGCATGTAACCCTCCACAGCCGCACCGTACAGACGGAAGTGCCACGCAGCCTTCTCTTCCTCCCCCTCGTTGTAGAAGTACTCGGCCACCTTCATGCGCTCCATCGGCACCTCGCCAACACGCCTCTTGCGGCAGCGGAAAAGCGCCACGAGACTCCCGAGGATGCCGCGCTTGTCGTGTTTGACAAGAGGCGGCTTCATGGCAGGGTGCTCCTTGCCTTCAAGCCGCTTGGCGAAGTAGGTCACGCGGAATCGCTTCGTGTTGGGGACAAGCGGCTCAACGGAAGTGGGATAGTCGAGGGCCTGATGCACACACAAGTGACGGGCGCAGTAATCGGGTGCAGGCAGGTGCTTTAAATCTGTTTGCTGTCTGTGGTCACTCACCAGCTGTATGGCCTCTTCGGGTAGGCTGGGCAGGGATGGGTCGAAGGCGTGGAAGAAGGTGTGACGCACATGGTCATGTCGGGGATGTTTCCTGTTGACCAATACCCACATATTCTGTGTGTGACACAACACAACACCACACAACACACACACGGACAGAGAGAACGAAACCTTGTCTTCTGCCTGCCTGCATTTTGTCTTTCGGTTCGGTGGATTGGATGCTTACGTATGGTGAAGTGCAGTATGTGGTGCAGAGGTAGTGCTCCAGCAGGTGCATCTCCAGCTCGACGCCATCCAGCTGACCCAGACGCTCCAGCACCGGACGGAACACGCCATCCACCACCTTACCCGCACCGTCAACCCACTGCCCGTATCTGTAGATAGCAACCAGAGAGTCAGTCAAGACGCGCCCATCCATCCATCCATTCTTTCTCCAGCGCCTCGCCCACCCGATGAGAGCGCATGGTTTGAGTCCCAGCAGCACGAACAGAAAGTCCCCGGCCAGACTCTGGTCGGCCGTCGTCGCCGGCACATCATGCTCCTCGTCGAGCGCCTCCCAGAACGGGATGCCCACCAGCCTGCAGCAAAGCAACCAACAACCAGTCAGACACACAGACACACATGACGTGACACGCAGCCGTCTCCCCGCTGACCGCGACGGCTCACCTCTTCATGTCGACACAGTTGAGGTCGTCAAAGAACTTTTGCTCATAAGCCCTGAAGGTTTCGTATGACTCGAAGATGCGGGCCTTGGTGTCCGATGCCAGCTTTGCAGAGGGGGCGTCCTCGAGCCTGATGCCATCTGGCTGCAGGATGGCCTCGGACGCCACCACCTTGCTGCATGACTCGAACAACGCCAGCAGCTCCTCGAGCCGCCTCTTCTCGGCCACCCTGCACACACAAGACAGACACAGAGACCAACGGAAGGGATGTCCATGCCGCCTCTTTCCCCAGTGTCTATTTGTCGTACCAGTCAAGTCCAGATCTCAGGGTCTTGATGGCCTCCTCGTGCTTGCCCTGCCTCAGCTCAATGAACGCCTTGAACTCATGTGTCTTCTCATACTCAGGGTCCAGCGCCTTGGCCTTGACGGCCGCCGCGTGGGCGTCGTCGAGCCGCCCCACTGACAACGCGCACAGTGCCTGGCAAGCGAAGCACATAGCCACCTGATTGCTGTCCAGCTGCGGGAAGGAAGACGCCAGCTCGGTAAGGAAATCAAAGCAGGCGAGTGCGACCGCCCAGCGGCCCTCATTCATCTGCCCCACAGCATACTGGAACCGTTGATGAAACTGCACACACACGCGCGCAACAATGATGGTGTGTGCACCCGAGGGCAGCAGTGCGTAAGTTTTCTCTGCTCACTTGCAGCAGATCTTCCACGGGCGCCTGCGAAGGCGTCGGCGGAGACGTCGACGCCGTGTCAGCGGCTGAATCGGTTTTGTTCTCCCCGTTGCTGCTCGACATCTTTGGACCAAAACCTTCCATTCGTTGCCAGTGCTTCTCCGCGTTCGCAGCCAAGCTCGCAAAAGCCTAGGACATTGCGTGAAACCGCTCTCCCGGCTTGCAGATCTCGTCGTTGGACGATTGCTTTCCATCTGGTGTCGTGACGGCTGCTGACGCTCTTCTTTACTCTGCTTGAAAGATCATTGAAAATGAAGGTGGTTTCCCTGGGGGAAGGAGCGAGGCCGGCGGTTCGAGGAAACCTCAGGCTCGGCCTCTTGTTCGTCCTCGTCTCTCTGGAGCTGCTGAGCTCATCGCCGGCACCCTATCGACGGAGATCCACGCAACACGCATTCTTTGTTGCCCCTGCTCTGGGCAGGAGCAGGCCGCTGCATGCCGCCCCTCACACCGCCATCCTGTCTGCACTCATCCCCGGCGTTGCCTTGCTCCCCCTCACGGCCTCAGCTGACGTGATGCTGCCGCCGGCTGTCAGCCAACCAACGGGCCTTCCCACCGCTCCTGAGCCATCGACCGCCGGTCTATCATCGTTTCTTCCCAGTCCCCTTGATCTGTCAAGTGTCGTGTTGGCTGAATCGACCTCATCAGTTGGTGAGGGCTATCGTGAGGGCATCAAGAACGTCGCCGCCGTGCAAGGGTACTCGCAGCTGGAGGAGCTCAGCTTCGCGGACTTCATGGAGCAGATCCGCAGCAACGCGGGGAGCAACCCGATCACTAGAGTGACCTTCATCGGCAGCAGGGCCGAGAGGTGTGTCGTCTTATACGCTGATGGGACTCGTAAGCGTCTCGGCGAAGGGTATCCACGTGAGTCGCCGACCAGCCAGGAGACGCCGCAGTGGGTGGTGGCTCGTGTGCGGGAGTTGAGGATTCCCTATGACTTCACCATCAATTTAGGTCCTGCCGGGATGGATGGATGGATGGATGGCTGTAGTTGTGTGCACTCATGCGTGAGGGTATTTGTTGTGTTGTGCTGTGTTGTGTGGTTGTGTTTAGGTCGGTATCGCGATCGGGGTGTGGACGAGAACTACATGACTCCAGGCGCTCGCAAACAAGAGATGCTCGAGCAGCAGTTTGGCAGACAGCAAACCAGATAGGCCGGCAGTTAGATAGACACAGATGGTTGGTCCCTGCCTGGTCTACCTAGCCGCGCTGACGATGGTCCTGGTGGGATATGACACGTGCTGTCGCAGATAAGTCTTCCGAGCCCACCGTCGTTGGTCATTCTCCAACTCCCAGCACGTCTTCTCCTCTTGAAAAACGCCACGTAAACCACGGGCGCCAAAGACGGGGGGTCGGTGGGGGCTGTGTGAGCCGCGAATCGTGGCAGATCTGGCACCAGCGTTTGTGTACCGTCAGCTAGTAGATCCCGTCGACCACCGACTCAATGGTGGTGTCTGCGGCATCTCTCGTGCACATGCTTCTGGTCCTCATGGTCTTGATCTCCGTCCATGTGTCGTACGGCAGGCTGGTCGGCCACATGCAGCACTTTGCATTCACCCCCCTCACAGCCACAAGCCAACGGAGATCTCTCAGGACGCTTCTCAATCAGCAGCGGCGAGTCGAGCAGCGAGTCAGTCAGGTGCAGCCTGTCGACATCAATGCTCCCGCTCCTGCGCAAGTGCGGATACCTCTCAGCCACTTCCCCCTCACTCGGGAAGACGGTGTCGACGTGGTTGACCCAGCAGCCGAGGAGCTAGCAAAGTTCGATGGCGATTTTGATAGGGATGATTGGGCTGCGGTATTCAGGACCCAGAGGGCGGAGTTCGCTTATCGGATACACCACGTGGAGGGCACCATCCCGCGCGACCTCAACGGAACCTTCTGGAAGATCGGGCCAGGTAAACCACCGAAGGGAGTGGGATTGGCGGCTGGCTGGCTGGATGAATGCGTGCAAATGCATCCTGTTGTTGTGCCTGCGTACCTTCAGCTCTTTTTAAGCGAGGCAACTCGACGATAGCCAACTTCAATGACGGCGACGGCTATCTCACGGGCATCTCGTTCCAGGACGGCCAGGCATGGCTCCGATCAAGATACGTCGTCACTCCCGACTACCGCCAGGAGTCAGCAGCTGAACAGTTCCTCTTCCGCGGCTGTTTCGGCACCAGACGCCAGCCAAACACCCCATACTCGCACCGACAGCGCCTGACCGGCCTTATCAGGAGGCTGAGAGGGTCGTCAGAGGAGCCGTCGCAGATCGAGCACCTCGCTGAGAACGCCTTCGATGCCCGGCTCAAGACCCCACCCAACACCAACGTGGCGTTGTTCCCCCAGAAAGACGGGAATGCCCCGCACCTTCTGGCACTGCACGAGGCGGGGCCGCCGTTCGCCGTCGAGATGAGTGACCTCTCGACGGAGGGGAAGGAGGACTTCGAGGGGTCGGTGCGGACGGAAGGCCAGACAGCCGGCATCTTCGGTCGCTGGCTTGACAGCCGGATGGGCATGGGGGCCGAGGCGGTCAATGCACACCCAAAGGTGAACACGGCGATGAATTGATAAATGAATGAATGCGCTGCACTGACAACGTTGGCCGTCTCCCCCCTGACAGGTGGATACTGAGAGCGGCAATGTGGCAATGTACACTTGGCAGACTCAGCCCTTGCGCGGCTCTATGAAGGTCTTCATACGAGAGTGGGCGCCTGACGGCACACTGCTCTCAACCACACCACACACTATGCCAGGTCAGTCAGCACAGGCAGGGCCCGCGGAAGCGCAATACTCGCGCATTACCGAGCTGTCTCTCTCTGCTTACGTGTTTGGTGTCGCCGTCCGTCAGACTGCTGTGCTGCCCCCCACGATTGGGCGCTCACCCAGTCGTATTACGTGTTGCCCGACCCCGCCATGTGCCTCCATTTGATGCCCTTTCTGATGGGAAAGAAAGGCCCTGCTCAGTGCATGGAGTAAGCACAGCCTCTGAAGCTAAACCCATCAACCAGTCGAACATACATATGCCATCCATGGTTGTGTTGGTCTTCACAGGTACCTCGACCGGCCCCTCCGCTTCCACCTGGTGCCGCGGCCGAATGGGCCGCGGGCGGGCACAGAGCCCATCCTGGTGGATGTGGGCAGGGCTGGGCTGCCGATGCACATGGCAGGATTTGACGACCAACACGGAAAGTAAGGGCGAGAAAAGGACTCTTGATTGAGGCAGGCAAATTGTCATAAGCTGGTTCTCCCATTTGGTTCAGTGTGGTGATATATTCTGAGGCGTGGAACGATGACATGCTCGAGATGCTGGAGGACGCCGAGTCGCTTTATGGCCACAGTGACCACTACTGGCCCGACTTCGCCTCATTCCCCAAAATCTCGCTCTACCGGTGAGTCAAACGAAGGAATACAGAGGCGTGTACGTGAATGATTGACACATGTCTGTGTGATCAGGATTGTGGTCGATGTGAGGTCTAGTCCCCCTCGTGTCATCGAGCACCGCATGACGCCGGGCCTCGAGCGGCTCTCGATCGCCCACCCACGGCCACATCCAAGGCAAGCCGCCCGCCCTCTCTGCCGTCATCACACACATCTCTCTCTGTCTGTTGGTCACATGATCTGTTTGCGAATGTGTGCAGCCGTGAGGCGCTACCCTTCCGGCACCTCTACTCTATGCTGTGTCATTCCAAGGGAGGCAGATGTGCCAGCCCACCGCAAGGCTGTGTCAGGCTCGATGTTGCCTCTGGCGAGGCTGATGCGTGGCACGCCGGTAGGCGGGCCTTCACCTCCCAGCCTGCCAGCGCGACAACCGAAGGGGCTTCCCAGGTCCCGAGCGACGAGATGGCGGGCTGGCTGCTGACATTTGTGCATGACGTGGAGGCCGGCCGCCCATACGTGGCTATTCTCGATCCCAAGGCCGTTCACAGAGGTCCTGTGGCCAAGGTGTGGCTGGAGCATCACGTGCCGTGGGGTATCCACACGACGTATGTGCCCAACGTGCACATGAAGCCTATCGATGACTGACTGACTGACTGACGGAGAAGGACTTGTGTGCGTATGGACATCGGGCCTGCCTGGGTGAGAGATGTGTGAGTGGGCACCAGGGAGGTAGGCAGGCCTCACTGTTCCCTCCCCGCCTATGTACAAGCGAAAGGGAGTCAGATAAGAACTGAATGCCTGCATGTCTCTCTCTCTCTCTCTCTATGTGTGTGTGTGTGTGTGCGTGTGTGTTGTTGGCACCCATCCGTACCGCATCGAGAAAGACTGTGAGGTGTACACAGGGCTGTCAAGGCCATACGTCGCATATCCGGTCATCCGTCCGTTCATACCGAGGTAGAGGGGAGCCGGGTGTGGTGAGGGCGCGCGAGCGTGTGTAGACGAGGGAGGGGAGGGGAGCGGGGTGGCACTTCAAGCACTTCCTACTCGATTGGTCTACATTTCTTTTTCTGTGTGCACGTCTGCGTGTGGGTGTGTGAGTGAATATGTGTGTGTGAAAGGATTCATGACGCGGGGGTGTTGGTCGATTCATGCTCCCTTCATGATGATTTTGCCCCCTCAGCACTTCCCTGCCTGCCTGTGTGTGTGACCTTTTAGTCATCGATTGCGACTCATTTTGGCGCGACTGAGTTTTCTTCCTCTCTGTGTCGATACATGACAGATACGCGCGCGAGAAAGAGAGGGAGAGAGAGAGAGTGAGTAGAGCGTGGCGTGTGGTGTAGTGCAGTGTGCGGGCTTTGTCAGGAGAGAAGTCAGTCTGTAGGACACTGAGTGAGACAGCCAGTGAGTGACTATGAATTGGGCCCTCGGGCGTGTAGGATGCATGCCTATATTGGTTGTTGAGCAGTATGGAGTCCATCAACCAGATCAATGAACGAGGCGAGCAGTTTTATGCATGGTCGTCGAGTTGTCGGACTCTATGCTCCAGCAGCCATCCATCGGCATGGGCGAGCTTTAGTGCGTTCGGGGACTTGATGTGTTCAATGCGGGCAGCAGCGATCTCAGTTGGTTGAGCTCAAGCCACATACACGTACACACACGCGCTCATCTGTCCACATCAGACATACCAACACGGACATTCATATGGATGCAGGAATCATCCTCTGTAACAACACACACAGGCCCTCAGGGAATGATGCGATCGCCACAAACCGATCAGCCATCTGTACACAGCTGCCCCAACCAAATACACGCCACGCCCACATGTACACATGTACACACACACACAGAAACACACACAGAAACACACACACATCCATCCACCACACCAACCGAGGGGCGGGTGCAGGGGTTCCACGTGGGAAGGGAAACAGCCAAGCCAGTCGTGGACAAAAAGACGCCGGGACTTTGATACGCGACAGTCGGTGGGTGAGGTGGGAGGTAGTCATGCGCCTGTCTGGTACGAGCAGTAGTGTAGTGGCTCTTTGCACAAAGCCATCGCAAGCCAGAGCCAGTGAGTCAGTGTGGGTGCGCGGGATGCACCGACGACGACAACGTCAGTCAGTGCATCCACTCACCAAACCGATGAGACACTCGCGCGGGGTTGTGTGGGAGCTGATGGGCGGCAAAACCGACACGAATACGGTTGTTGGACGGTTGACATGCAGCATGGAGGAGGAACACACATATGCACAGACAGACAGACAGACGAGTATACTGCACGCGATCCGTGTGCTTGGAAAATCCCCGAGCGGAAACAAACTCTCCCTTTCCTTTGGAAATGCAGCCACACACATATATATTACATTCCCGTACGGACACATGAAGACGGAAAAAGGGGCTCCAGACACTCTGCAAGCAGTGTTCGCAGAAGAGGCGTACGTATGTACACAGTACTTACGTGCTTCACGTGCGTTGTGAGCACACCCCAACCTCACACACCACGCCGGCGACGCCAAGCCCGCACGAGAAAGGCTCTCTCGACCAGGCTGACGTCACCGATCCTCCGGCGAAAGGGAGAGGCGCACTCACACGTGTGACACACTGGGTGTTTCGGGAATGAATGGCCCTCCAGCTTCGATTCGACCCCTGGCTAACCAGTCCTCCCACCAATCCCCCCTGAGCACCGCACCCCACCGCACCCAAGCAGCAAGGCAAAAAGTCAAAACTCCCTCCACACCCGACACGCACGCCCCCTCCCTCCCTCGCTCCCCTGGTCCTCCTCCTTCAGCCCACTTGTGCAGCTGACGACGCACCTGTGGTGAAGACGAACCCCGCCCCATACCTGGCCCTGCCCTGGTTGATGTGTGTGCCGACGGCCTCCTGGATCGCCCGTGCTGTCGTCTGTGCCTGCTGGTGGGCGGTGCGGTGTTGGTGCTCGCATGGCGCGGTCTTGTGTGGCGGCGGGGGGCAGGAAATGAGTGCGGCGGCCATGGTCTCGGGCAGCTGCTTGTGAACCACCATGTCGAAACACGCCACACCGCCCCAGGTGCTCGTGTGAGGCACGATGTCCAAGTGCCTGAGAGACGGACGGGGAATGAACGAACACCAAATGGATGGCGACCTGGTCGTGTCGTGTCGCGTTTAATTAAGGCAGTCAGTCAGTCGCACCAGTGATATGATCGTTCCCAGTCTGCCTCGAGTGAGATGCCGCCCGCCTTGAGTCTGGACCTCTGTCTGCTGTGGTTGTGCATCCATTGGGTGCTGTTCTTCTTGACGGGCGTCGTGCGGACGATCACATTGTAGTCGGGGTCACCTGCAAATATAAGATCATGGTATGTATGTATGGTCAGTCATTAAACCCCTTTAGCTGCTCCGCCCACCCACTGACTGACCGAGTGCGTGGTATAGCATGTACAGGCAGTTGTGGAGTGCCTCCGACAGGTCATGCAGCTCCTCGGACGTGGCGTCCAGGAAAGAATGACTGTGACGCCTGAAGACAGAAGAACAAACCACACCACACAGACACCCAGCAAGGCACATCACATGTGGGAGCCTCTTGGACGCCTGTGTGTGCTGCCTGCCAGGTGTCTGTCGGTCTGTCCGTTTGACTGACCGTGGTACGATCCACATCTGGTACGCCCGGCTGGCTGCGTAAGGGACGAAGGCAACAAACGAGTCGTTCTGGAACACCACACGCGTACCTGGAAAACACCAACAGACACACGGGATACATTACTTCCATGCAATGGACCTCCATCGGTCAGATCATGTGTGTCAGTCAGTCCATCTGTCCATCCATCCATCCATACCATCTCCCTCCAGGTCTTTGAGTTCGTCTTGCAGCACTCGACAGAAGACGCAGCTGCCCTGCTCGTCGTGGAACCGCCGCGCCCAGTCCAGCCGCTGCAACGTCACACTCGGGATCACCGGCAGACCAACCACCTGGACCCCAACAGGCAGCAGCACATCAGTCAGGGGGTGGGGTGCCTATGGACAGTGGGGGGGTATGTGATATGATGTGTTGTTGTACCTGGAAGTGTGGGTGTTCCAGGCTGCCGCCGGAAATGAGGCCGTGGTTCTCGAACAAGGCCACATACCGAACGCTGCACACATTCAGTCACACATACAGGTAAGACGCCACATGAGTCTGTCTGTCTCTGGCTGGCTAGGCTGCCCAACGTACGTACCGTGAGTCTTCAGCTGCCACCTGCCCCCTCAGCTGTAGCGTCTCGAGGATGGACAGCACCTCCGACGGCCGCATCAGCGCAGGGCACGTGTTATGGTGCGGGTGACTCACTACTACCTGCATCGCATCGCATCACACACACACACAATGAAAACCGTGTGCACGGGTGATCATCGAATGAATCGAGTTGCCTTGCCTTCCCACCTCACCTCCTGTATGCCGGCCCCCGTCACTTGTGGGTGCAGGCCGAAGAAGCCGCACTCGACGTACCGCCGATCACGGGACAGATACGGGAACTTGTTTGGCACCACTCGAAGCAACCTACACACAAAATGGAACCAATCATGTGGGCAAACCAAGCAGTGCACCCACCCCACCCGCATCGCTCTCTCCTTCCCTCCCTCCCTCACCAGTCGCTCTTGTGTTCATCGTCCCCGGTGTGCACCACGCCACTGGCCGCAGGGTTGGGTACCTCGTACAGCACTGGCGGACATGACGCCTCATTGCCGGGGCAGAATGGGCAGTCGGCAGCGTGCCGCGGCCGGTCCTCGGTGAGGCTGGAGGGTGGGTCGCTATCGGGTGAGGAAGTGGGGCCCTCGCGTGCCTTGTTGTTGTGCTGCTTGTAGGTGAAGGGCTTGTTGCCCACCGCCGGGCTGTACATGGACCAGGTGCCCGTGGCGATGCACTGACGAATAAACGACTCGCTCTCGGCAGGCGGACAATCCCGCCAAATGATGCCCGGGCCAGCCAGCTCGGCGAGCGAGAGGTTCCTCCCTCGCTTGGGCACATGGCAGTAGTCAGGATAGCCCCAATCATCGGCGCCATCCTCCTCCTTCCGCGGCTCACCGTCGGTCTCAGGCACGTCAGGGAACGACGACTGGCTCCACACGTCGGTGTTGTTCCCGTCTGGCGCCCGTCGCATCCCCGCTGGCAGTGGTGAGTGACCTGTCGTGCTGCTTCCGTTGAGGCCGTGCGGCATGGGTACTCGGCTGGGTCTGGTGTTGGCGGTCATGGTGAGGCTCTGCTGCGGCCGCTGGGGAAGGGGTGAAGAGGGTGGCGGCACGTGGGGAGGGCGGAAGAGAGAGCATGAACGCCGTGACAGCGTCCATGAGCGGGACGGAGATGACTGCATCTTCAAGTTCAACTCAAAGAAAAACTCGAACAAAGAAGGTCAGCTGGCTGTGCTTGCTGCCACACAATAGGCCAATTCAGTGCTCCGCTTTTCTCATCCAAAACCACGTCTTTCCCCCCAGCTCGCCTGGAAGCTACTAAGCTCGCAGGGAAGAGGGGGGGCGAAGAGAGGAGAGCGGAGGTGAGCAAAGACAGGCGCACCACTATCCAAAACACCAGATCAATCGATCGCTTGTGTGCGTGCGCAGGCCAAAACAATTGGGCCAAAAGAGTTCAATTGACTGAACACATGGGTGGCTGGGAGTGGCGCCTGTTCCTGAGTGAGGGCTTGAGGAACTTCTCATTCATCAAAGACCCACAGCTGCGCGGCCTGTGCGAGGAGATCTTACTCACTGCTGCATCTGCATCATCCCCAGCGGCTGCAGCAGGCACCTCACCGCTGCCGATTCTCGTGCAAGAGGAGCGGGCGGATGTCTATCTGGTCAGCAGTGATGAGGCTGTCGGGGCCAAGTGGAGAAACGAGACCGACTTCGAGGTCAAAGTGTGGAGGAAGAGTATCATCGACAGCAAGCGAGTCAAACCAGCTGAGCTCCAGCGGACGGCGAATGACTCTGTGGGCGGGATCAGCATCACTCCCTCATCATTCCTTCACCTGCAGAAGTGGAAGAAGCGACGCTACCCGGCCGCACACTCGTGGCAAGCGGCGATTCAACTGCTGGAGCGCGCTGAGGGCAAGGAGAATGACTCGTCTTCCTCTGAGGACTCAGACACAAACCTCGACCGCCCTTCCGCCTACCTCCTGCCATCCGCTCCTTCTGCAGACACATCACAACCTGCACCAGAGCCACCACCGGCAGCAGCAGCGGCGGCGGCGGCGGCGGCGGCGGCCAGCCCGGCTGTGGGTCGCCCTGCCCGCTTCCGGCCAGTCGAGGTGACCAAGACAGTGCGGAAGGTGGGCATCAGGAAGAAGGTGTGTGCTGAGGTCTCGAGGCTGCGGCTGGAGGAGCTGGAGGCAGCGAAGCGGTCCGGCCAGGCAGCCACCATCTGTGTGGAGGGGAAGAAGAGGCATGTGCTGGCGTATCTGCGAGAGGCCATCGACTGCACGAAGCTGCATGAGATGGCTCAAGGGGGCGGGGCGTCACGACCAGATGAGAAGCTTTTGACCGTGGTGTTGCCTTATCGGCCGGGTGGCGTGGTCGACAAGGGCGAGGGCAAGGAAGAGCAGGAGATAAAGTGGCTAGTGGTGGGAGGGTATCCAACGCTCTTGAGCTGGTGGCTGGTGACTGTTGCTTCCTGAATGTTGCCGTATGTGTGTGTGTTTTGGGGCGGCGACTGACAGAGTAAGACAGCGGCGCGAGAGCGACCATCCGCTCACTGCTTTGAAGTCATGTCGACCGAAAGGCGTATGTGCATACGTTCTCCTGATTTGGAAGCACTGAATGGATGGTCCCTCGATAGGACTGTTGGACTTTGGCGTCACGTTTGGTGAATGGTGCTGGTGAGTGCCCACATGGCCGCAGACAGACGTATGTGATGCAGAAGAGTCATCCATCGTGGGTGTGCTGGCCAGAATATCTTCAATCGACGGCTGAGAATAGGCACGAGTCTCAGGGAATGGATTGAATCCTTCAGGCAATGAAACTGGGGTAACCCCACTCCCCCTATGCTGCGTCGGCTGAGCGGCGATGGGCAGAGAGCGTTCTTTGCCGTTGCGGAGGGCGGAGGAAAAACGAAAGCGCGGAGCATCTTTTGCCGTCTCCGTCTCAAATTCGCCGAAAAGGAAATTTACTTCCTGGCAACGTGGTAGCGCACCCCCGCGGCAAATTAACAAAGATGCATCCCGCAGGTTTTCTCCCATCCGTTGTGGCCCTACTTGCCCTTCAAGGTGGACAACTTGGAGCCAAGGACATCAACTGCAGAAATCCGCTCTTCGCGGGTCACTGGTTCTCTACGAATGAGGAGATAGGGCACCTCTCACCACAGCCGCAGACCTACGCAGATCTACTCGTCTGCCCACAGTTCAACGGAAGGCCATCATGCTGCACACCATCCATCGCTAGCCAGCTTCGAGCTGCACTGGCCAGCTGGACACATCATCTCCAGGCGCAACTCGATGACGCGCAGAGGTATCTGCTGGCGTTGAGAGAGATCCGCAAGACCCAGGCCTTCAACAATACGGCAACGGACGAGAAGGCTCACTTCGATGAGGCCATGGATGCGGTCTGCAGTGTGTTCAAGAGCCACCAGCGGTGCTTTGACGGCATTCTGGAGGTTACGAGCGGCCTGCTGTGCTTCGCCTGTGCGCCTGACTGGAAGCGATACGTCGGCGTGGAGAAGAAAAGTGGCGGCATTGCAATGGTGTCCATCTCGGAGAGCAGCTGCGGCCATTTGTGGATGCAATGCCGCGACATGGGGCTGGCCAGCAAGCGGCTGCTCGATAAGGTGCTTGACTCACACCTGACGCGCCGAGTGGCGGTGCCGCTGCCGCAGCTGGACGCATTCCAGGTGGGCTGGGGATCGAGGGGGGCGGGATATATAACACAAACCAACCCGCGGGATGCCTCTGTCTGTTTTCCCTTGTCTTTCTTGGTGCATGTATGCAGGATGAGGAGCTGCTGTGCAAGTACGCTATGAACGTGATAGCCCTCCGTCCCTTCCTCTTCACCTCCCTACACGCCCCCATCTTCACCAAGTCGCACATCGACATGCATCCAGACAAGGAGGTCCTCATGCCCCACAGCGACTGGGATGCAGTCAACGAGGGCCGACAGTCTCAGCTGCCCACTCGGTTCCGTGTGCAGAGAGAGGGGGCTGACTCGAGCGGCAGCAAGCATCCCTACCAGGCGACACTCGACATCTGTCGCAAGAAGGGCAAAGTAGTGCAGGAAAACATATGGATGTAAGTAAAAGCGTGCTGACTGAGGACAGACAGGTGCGTGTTTCATTCCTGCGTATGCATGTGCTGAGATAGATGGCTCGCTAGCTTAAGACTCGAACGAACTTGTTTTTGCATTCAACGGTTGACTGACAACGTACATGACATGACATGAATGGCCGCTCAATCAACTCAACCATACTCACGTGCGGTGCGGTTGGCCATTCAGCGCTAAAGTCGCATTGTATGTATCTACACACATGGCTGGCTGGCTGCGGGGCTGCTGCGCTGTGCCCCCATACTACAAACTTGCTGCTGGATGGACGGATGGCTGACTGACTGAAAATGACACACACCGTCCTCTCCCCCCTCCCCCTCACCCACAAGACGGCAAAAACGTCCGTCCGCCCCTTCCCCTGCCTGCGACGACGCAACCAACATATAGACACGGCCGACTGACAGGACGCAGACAGACCACTCACTGTACAGACAGACAGACATATATGTGGTTATGTATACGCTCTACCTACCCTGACTTGACTCCTGACTCGGTACTCCACATTGCTACGATCGTCATGAGTTAGTTGCCGAGTATCCGCCTCAGCTGTCTCTTCTGCCTCTCCGTCAGCGAAGAAGGAAAAACAATGTCAAAATAGATGACCAGGTTGCCGCGCTGGCCATCCAGATCTCGAATTGGAAACCCCTTGCTGCAGTGCACCAGCCACACACGCATCCATCAAGCCTGGCGTGAGCTGGCTGGGACGGCAGCTCTATCCTTCTGACTTACCCATGCACAACGTGTAAATCGCCCTGTCGTGTGATGCTATTGAGCCTGACCGTGATGGGCGAGCCGTCTAATCCCTTGACGCTGATGCTGCCGCCCGCGAGAGCGATGGAGAGGGGAATGCTCACGGTGGTGTGGACGTCTGAGTCGTCGACAAGCTTATAGTCGGGATGCTCTGCCGCACGGACGACCATGATGATATCATTGTAGGGCTGGTTGGCGCCGATCTGGTCACCTTGACCTGCCAACACGAGGGCAACGAGCACATTGACATGTAAGGGTCAATCTCATTTGGTGTCGACGAGCGAAAGTGGGCTCACCAGGAAAGCGAAACTCGGCGCCTGGCAGTGTGCCTGACGTACAGCACAGCACACCATACGATATCACTGTGTGTGTGAGAGCACAGCTGGGGGGCTGGCTGTGTCACATACATACCTGGTGGTATCGTCAGGTTGATCGTGACCCGCTGCATCCGAGGCTGTATGGCCGTCGGCGAGAACCGTGACACCTCGACGTCGATAGCCCTCGTGGTGCCCTTGTAAAGCTCCTCGAGCGATACATCGACCTCCAGAGAAGTTGAGCGTCGGTTACCGAGACCCAACCGCAGCAGGTCTTGGGCCATCAGGGAGGCTGCCACAGCCCGCTGATACATCGGCCGCCGCATCGACGGTCTAAAACCATTGCTGGCCGTGGCTGTGAGGAAGGGCCGGTAGAGGTGCCGATTGTTGCTTACGTACACGGAGCCATTCAGGAAAGAGGGCCGGAAAAGCTCCAGATCTTCGATATGTCTTTCCACAGCAAAGGCCCTCTCTGCGTCGTACTGCCTTCTTCGCACTGGATCTGCCAGAATGGCATACGCTTGAGTGAGCTGTCCATCCGACATGGCCTCGGGCGGCAGCTGGCGAGCGATTCGGCGAAAAGCACGCTTGATGTCGTTTTGGGAGGCTGAAGGGTCCACGCCTAGCAGCGAGTAGAGGCTGTTGTCATCCGGAAGCTGAGCTGCGTAACTCATGAGCAACAGACCCACGAAAAGATGGCATCTCGCCTCCATGACGACCAAACACCCAGAAACCGCAGATGCAGAGAGAGCTATGCACTTGTCAGGCAGAGACCATAGGCGGCTCGGGAACACTCCTTGGACGACTAAGCTCGCAGACGGAATGCGAGCTGGCTGAATCAGACACCGATTGTAGAGGACGAGCCTATGGGTTGATAGCGGAAGCCTAGGAATCTGCCAGATCGATGGGATCACCGCCAGCTCAGTCGGCGCACTACAGTGGCCTGTGTAAGGTCCTGCGGGACATCGAGGATTTGTATGACCACCGGCATCCGCAGGACGAGCGCGTGTTTCATCCTGTCAAGGTCTTCAGCTTCATCAAGCAGCAGGGGCGGGAGGGATGCGACCCATCGCAGCTCTTCACCGACGACCAGCTCGAGTGCCTCTTGGCCCAGATCGAGGCCTACCAGCAGCTCATGACCACGGATGCACCACTCGATGACGCCCTGTACGCCGCCACGCAGCGTGAGGCGCCCCGCGATGAGCGAGGCGAGCGCGTCCGGACGCACGATAAGGATTGGGCGAAGCATCTGGAGCGGGTCAAGCAGAAGGGCAACCACTTCGTCAAGTTCCGAGCGCCGGACAAGCAGATGCACGTCGCCAGGAGGGACCCAAACGCATGGATTGCCGCAGAACAAAAGGCCCTTGAGCAGCGCCTCGCCGACCACGGGCGTCAGCAGCGCCAGCAGCACCAGCCGATGGAGCTCACTGACGGGGCGCCGGCATCATCATCGTCTCCCGAGATGAGCCTCGAGGAGCGGCTGGCCCGTCTGCTTCCCCTCCAGAGGATGCTGCGTCGTCGCGTATTCGCCGCGCGCTTTCTGGAGCGTTCCCCCGCGTTGCTGCCGCCGATCAAGTACCCGCATCCGCTTCGTCTGCGTCACGGCCACAACAAGATCCTGCAGCAGGTGAAGCGTGGGTGCACGGACCACTACGAGGCGCGGCGGGCGGCGTTGGTCAAGCACAGGGACACCTTCCTCAACGACCTCATGCTGCACCAGAAGGCATTCGTGGACTTCCACAAGGACAACGAGAAGAAGAGGAAGAAACTCATGCAGGCGGTCAGTCAGTCAGTCTGTCAGTGGGGAGAAGGGGGTCGGGACGGGAGGCAGGCAGGCCTTGTGTGTGTGTGCGGCATGTGTGTGTGTGTGTGTGTGTGTGTTTGTGTGATGGTGTCCCTTGCGTGTAGGTGGTCAAGTACTGCAACAACAGGGGTGAGGACGGCATGACGTATGAGGAGAAGATGCAGAAGGAGCGACTCGCCGCACTCCGGGTACGATCGTTGGACACACCCTCCCTCCCTCCCTCCCTCCCTCCCAATCACCCAAACACCCACCCACCCAAACACGAAGATTGCCACCATTCAGATCACACGTGTGTGTTGTCTGTCGATGGACGGACTGTGTGGTCATCCATCCATTTATCCATCCATCTGATAGGCTCGTGACGAAGACGCGTACATCAAGTTGTTGGACGAGACCAAGAACGAGCGTCTAAAGGAGCTGGTCAAGCAGACGGAGGACTACATGAACAGGCTGGGGGCCCTGGTGCTCCAGCACAGGGAACATACCCAGCAGGTTCAGCAGGATGGTGGCCAGCGGGTGGAGGATGCCCAGCAGGATGAGAACCCCGAGGACACAAGGGCCACGCTGGTCAAGGCGCGGGAGCGGTACTACAAACTCACTCACACCGTCGAGGAGAAGGTGCTCGAGCAACCTGCTATGATGGAGGTCCGTCAGCCAGCCCGTTGATAGGAGGGAGGGAGGGAGGGAGGGTGCTCAGGTGCTGGGTGTTGGTGTGTGTGTGTATGTATGTATGTATGTGTGTATGTGTGTATGTGTGTATGTGTGCATGTGTGTGTGGTTGTTGGTTAGGCTGGCAAGTTGCGTGAGTATCAGCTGAAGGGGCTGCAGTGGCTCGTGTCGCTCTACAACAACAACCTCAACGGCATACTCGTACGC